GTTCTTGTGGGGGGGGGGGGGGGGGGGGGGGGGTCTGTAGCCTGTCCCAGGCAGCATACAGAACCAGGCTGGGGTGCACCGTGGTGAGTCCTTCTTATCTTACATAATGAAAATGTATTGGGAAACTTATATTTCCATAAGTGTCTTTAGTATCTAAATGCTGTAATTGCATTTTGATGGTAAACAAACTCAGGCGAGAAACACAGAGTTGCACTGCAGAGGTGTCCTTTGACAAGCTGAAGTCAGTATTTTGGGATACTGGGATGTCGGTAGAAACAAAGCAGGTGGGGAAAGAGGCCATTCAGCTGACCAGCCATTAACTGTCCGCCCAAAAGAGGTCAGACTTGGAACAGCTTTGGAGTTCTTTTGACCTAGGGGGCCAATGAAGCGCGTGCTTTTATTTGAGATTCTACTCTGATGAATTATGCATATAGAACAGGCACATTTTACACTGTACAGATGCTTGTATTATACATAAAAGTTAGATCAGTGATTCAGTGACATCACTTCCTGAATTGGGGATCTCTGAAGGGTCTGATTGGCCCAGAAAAGGGGGGAGGGGCAGCTGAAATGGCTTTGAAGTGCAAGACGTCAGTGTGGAGAGCTGGAGGAGTGTTTGAAGTGAGGTTTCTCCTCTTCTCATCTTGGAGAGTGGTGCACCGCTCCTGCGATGGGAGGAGAGTGGCAGTGCCCGTGTCCGGTGGGAGGGGGCAGGGAGTTGGCCTGGAGTCTCTGAAGCTCATGCAGATGTGAGGTATGAAAAGCAGACAGTGTACAGAGGAAGTGACATCACTCTCTGGCTTAGTGGGTCCCCACAAAACTATTCAGGTGAATTGAATTTTGCTGGAGATCTGTGTGTGCCCCACAATGTATTTTTTTGACATTGTGGGGACCATTTTTCAGGTTCTCACAAAGATTTGTGAAATCAATCAAAAGACTAAAAATGCCAAAAGTCTTCTATTTTGTTTGGTTACTTATGGTTAAGGTTAGGGCTGGGTAGGGATTAATTAAGGGTGTCATGTTGGGATTAGAGCTTTCCTCATAGAAATAAATGGAGAGTCCCCACAAAGATATAATTACAAACCTGTGTGTGTGTATGTGTGTGTACAGAGTGTGGCCCGCATTCCTTGTCATGCTGGTAATAAATTGCTTGTAACTCATGGCTCTGAGTAAGGGAAACACTGTTTGTTACAATTAACACACAGCATCGGGCTTCCATGGCCTTGCTGACAGAGCCTCTAATCACAGCAGCTGTGTTTGGGCTCCGGCCCGCCCTCCTGCTCTGCCCTCTGGCCCCGCCCTCTGGCCCGCCCTCCTGCTCTGCCCTCTGGCCCCGCCCTCCTGCACTGCCCTCTGGCCCGCCCTCCTGCACTGCTCTCCTGCTCTGCCCTCTGGCCCCGCCCTCTGGCCCGCCCTCCTGCTCTGCCCTCTGGCCCTGCCCTCCTGCGCTGCCCTCTGGCCCCGCCCTCCTGCCCCGCCTTCTTGCTCCGCCCAGCTGCCACTGCATTTGAAGTGTGCCCTCGACACCAGCCTGGGGTCGTGTCACGGCCGGCACTGTCACAGACGCTGACAAGCCCCACGTGGGTATATCGGACGGTCAGACGGTCAGGGTGCAGGAGCTGCTTTTCCGGACCAGACACACCTGTCGCTGACCCCCCCCCCAAAGCCCTGTCATCTCCCTGTGCAGCTTTCCATTAGGCCAGTGTGCAGATGTACAGCTTTGGAAAAATTAAGGGACCACTCCGTATTTTTTAAGAATTTACATTGTTAAATCCTGGTTTAATCTTGGTTCTGCTGGCAGAAGGCTATGCTGACCAGCAGGCTGCTTCCAGACAGCAGAACACAAGAACAAGATGAAGCTAGAGACACTGGAAATGACCAGAAACCAGCCAGGTAGAGGATGGAAGCGATTTTCTAATGCCAGAGTTGACCGTCAACTTGTCCAGCAGTGTCTCACAAATATTTTACAAAAACCATGCCCATAAATTGAGAAAGTGTGAAACTGAAAATTTTGCTATGGTCTCTTAATTTCTCCCAATGGGTGACAGCAGGGAAACCGCAGAAAGTGGCCTTTGTTCTCCGTGACGCACACGTTGGAATTGAAGCTGGGCTGAGACCTCAAGCTAGGTGGTTCACATGGTGTAAAACAGAACTCTCCTGATTTATCAAGCTACATTTGTTTCTCTCTTCCCCCAAGGGTTAGGAAATTGTAATTTCCTATTATTGACTGCTATTGCATACAAAGTGTGGGTGGTCTTTGTTTTTGCCGAGCAGTCTTTAAATCACCCCAGGTACTGTATCAGCTGAGAAGCATTGCGCTCTCAGCGCCGTCTCCCCTTCATGTGCTTTTTGAACGAAGCCCGTCGTGAGTTGGTCGTGCACGGTGGTTTGAACCATCGTCGCTCACACAGAGGAGCCGGTGAACATCTCATATGCCACGAGTGTGACTCTAAGAAGCTGTGGTCTGCAGCTTGGGGAACGAAACACACGGAGTACACTGAAATGGATACTTTTGTATAACGCACAGACTATTATACTACTTGTTTTTAAAAATAATGATTAGTTATAGCTCAAAGAAGAATACATTAATTAAATGTGTTTTGAAGAAAGCCTTGTCTTAGACTCCATCTCCATATTTTTTTTATATTTTATTTATTTATTTTTTTTCTTTCTGCTCTTTGCCATGGAAACAACGCAGATGTTCTCACTCAGGGCTGCTAACAGGAAGCAGCTTCTCATTAAGGTGAAGATGGTGCATATTATACACAGAATAGCAGAACAGCCAAAAGATGCGTAACGGCAGAGGGAGACGTTCCACACCCGCAGTGTGCAATTCCTAACGAATTTGGGAAATTGTATTCCTCCAGGAAGAATGCTGTTCAGTCTGTGGTTCATATTGAGCCCGTGTTACCGTCATGGGTGTTTCCAGAAAATTCTCAAGTTACAGGTCAATTGCTATGTTGGAACTCGTTGTACCTATTTCAGTCATAATTCACGAATGTGATACAAAAGCAAAAAAAAAAAAGGAATTAAATATTTAAACATACAGCCATGCGGGGGTGCAGCTGCAGTAAATGCCTTGTTAATTAGTGCCTGAGGTCAATGTGACGAGTGGCGGATTCTCATAATGTCGTATGGACATACAGAATTAGTTTTGTAAATAAATTTGGATCAGTCTTTCAGGTGTAGCACAGCGGCTAAGATTTCAGGCTTGCCATCCCTCTGGTCTGGTGTCACTGCACCGGCTGGTCCGTTTGCCACACCTGGGTCCTGTTTCTGGGAGACGGGAACCAGCTGGCTGGATGGGAGGGGTGACGGGGGGGGGACAGTAAGCAAGCAGCACTGGCCCACCCCCGCCACGAGGCGCTCGTTTTTCAGAAAGGCCTGCTGGGAAACGGATTGAATTACTGTGGCTCCGAAACCCTTTGCTGGTGCTGGTGGTTCATGTGCTTTTATTTGCTGGAATCGAGATTACGCTATAAAGCAAATGTTTTACTGTTACACGTTACACAAACGTTTTCTGTGTGTTTTATTAAGATCATTCTTTCACCTTTAAGACTAGAAGCCTGCCCAGTTACTCAGTGAGATTAAAATACGCGTGTTAATCAGTATTTTGACTTCCTCTTTGTGCCACCAATCAGGCTTCATGTACACCAGGCTTGAGATCCCTTTTTCTGGGCCTTGGGGTTTGGCTTTTGCTGTGTTTTAGCCAAATTTCACACTTTTCCTTACAGCTAGAATAACCTGTCATAAAGACAATTACGAAAAGTGAGCAGTTAAGCACAAAACATAGCCCTGTTCTGAGCTTGAAGCTGATATTATGATATGGAGCTTGTGTCCAGTTTTTAAATAATCCCCCCAAAGAGAAGAAACAGAAGTGCAGGTGGAGAGCAGTTGGTTCTCTGTGTCTAGATTTGCTTCCTGTTTGTGTCTCAGTGAGTTCGTTGGGGGGGGGGGGGGGGGGGGGGGGCGTGTGCACACGTTACAGTCGCGTCCTGCTTCCTCACCTGTCCCAGCTGCTCCCTCCCGTCTGGGGCGTCAGAAAGGCGCCTCTCCCATCTGTGATCCAGGCTAAGGTTCCGGAAGCTCACAGGGCGTGGAGCATCTTGCTAGGACCTCCTCTTGGTGCAGCGATTAATCAGCTACTTAATGTGTCCCTTAGGTGATAATTTAGATGTCTGCTCCACAGCTGCACAAGACCCAAGGTTGGGTGCTGCAGAAGACAGGGAACTTCTGGCCTCTGGAAACAAATGTTCATAGAGATGGATGACTGTTAGATATTAAATATGATGTTGTTCTGTATTTTGTTATATATATATATTTTTTATAAACTCCAGGCTTGTGCCCCCGCGCTGTGTGTGTAGTTTGCATCGTCTCCCTGTGTCGCCTGGGTTTTTGCCTGAGCGCCAACGGCGTGCTGCTCGTGGACGTGGGAGACCGTGAGTGTCCCTCAGCGTGAGACGCTGTGACTGCGCGTTACTGCCGGGGTATGCCCTAGGTCCCGTCAGATCAGCTGTCCGCCTGTGTGATTTATTCACTTCTCGTTTTCAAAATAGAAAAACAATTTTGTGAGTAAGGCTTGTTCAACATCAACATGATAGAGTACAATATGCTGTGTAAAACACACCCCCACACTGCTGGGCCTTTGAGGAAGGTGGGCGTGGATGTGCTGCCGGCCCCCCATACCCGTGTTGCATCAGTAGCTGCTGGACAATCCCCCCCCCCATACACACACACATCTCACTCTCTTTCTGTTTACAGCAGTGCTTCCCAATCCGGTCCTTGAAGACCCACAGCCAGTCCCTCCAAACTCTTTACCAGACAGTCCACATTTTTGCTCCCTCCCAGCTCCTGGTAGGGAGCAAAAACGTGGACTGTCTGTAGGCTCAGCAATCGTTTCTGAAACCAGCTTCATGTGGGACTCCTGGTTAATGGTGGGGCTCAATATAGAGACACTCAAACACAGAAAAAACATTCACTAAAAAAGAGAAAAAGAACTGAAGAACATGGATTGGGGGTCTGAGTCTGGTGGTCTGAACTGAACATGATGCAGGTTTTGCGGTCAAAGGTAAATTTTCTTTTTCCTACAATGTTTAAACCAGTTAGTGTGACTGAAGGTGCACTGGTTACGGACATGGAGGGCTAACATGAAGTCACATCCCCCACGAGGCACTGAATTGGAAATAGCCCAGTAAAATCTCCAACTTCACGCAACCCTGTCATTTTTAATGTTTCCCTGTATTCGTCAGAAGCAGGATGGAACAGGAAAAGAGTCGATCAATGGATTTTTTTTTCTTGTATAATTAATATGATGTACCTACTTCCGGTCCATGACAGTAAGAAATGAATCAGTCCATTTTCATCAAGCACTGTTCTTGTGGGGGGGGGGGGGGGGGGGGGGGGGTAATCTGACTTTCAACCTGTGCTGGCACACAAGGCAAGGTGGCCAGCGGGGATATATTTCCCTCTGCGGGGGGGTGGTGGGGGGACGGGCCTTACAGCCTTTGAATATTCAAACAAGATGTTATTTGCGTTTGGTGTTTTCTTGCCCTCCTTCCTGTCAGCCACTGCCTGTGTCACACCCTTAATGTCTCCCTCCCCTCTGCCCCCCATCTATCTCACACCAGGTCTGCTCTCTACCCCTCGCCTCTCTACCTTTTCTCTCATACCTCAATGTTTCTCTTTGCTACTGCATTGTCTTAACCACTCTGCCATCTTGTGGTCAATTAAAGGACAGTTATTTGGTCTTACAGCACCGTTTTCAAAAGAAAAGTGATGTTGTATTTTTCCCCATGGGGTAACGAGACAAAACGAACAAGCTTTATTTGCAGAAGTACACTGGGATGCTTCTTTTTGCCAACAACATCTAACTCTCCATAGTTTGGGGGTCACAGCGAATGGGTAGCTAACATTCAGCACCTTTGGAGTTGGGGGTTAAGGGCCTTGCTCACGGGCTCACAGACATGTGACTGTTCTGTGTCACCTGTCCCATCTTTCTCTCCATGAGACAAATCACAGGTGAGAACAAGCTTGGAGGTCATGACGCAAAGTCAGCCAGCATCCCCGGATCATCTGGGGATTAAGGGCCCACTGGAGGCATCAGTCTGCCAGTTCTGGGATTCAAACCAACAACTGTCTGATTACGGGTACAGGGCCCTATCCCACTAAATCACACACTGCTTCATTTCAACATATCCCGGACTATGTTCTTTTTTTTTTGGACTAAGCATAGCTTGGTGGTGGCCTGATGGATAAGGGAGCATCCTTGTGATTGAAAGGTTGCTAGTTTGAATCCCTGATTAGCAAGGTACCACTCCACAGGTGCTATGTAATAGCTGCCCACTGCTATGTCACTTATGGGTTAAATGCAGAGAATACATTTTATTGTTATGTGCTGTGGTGTGTCAGCAGTGACAATTAATCAAAGCTCTGTTGGCCTTAAACACACAGGAGGGTTTATGTGGGTATTTATTCTGTCTGGATGTAGTTTTGCCTTTCAGTTTGAATGTACTGTGCCCAGTGTTCTGAAGACTTCACTTTTATTGTTTCATATGTTTATCTGCTGTAATAATCCTGATTGTACTGACTTTAGTCTTACCCCTTCTTGTGATAATTCTCTAATCAGTGTTTTGTGTGTTTACAGAAGGCTTCACAGCGAGTCTTTCGTGCGCCAGTACACTGCATCTGAGGAGCCCCCTGGAGGTGACTGGCTGTCACTGCAGCAGTGTGGAGAAGGCTGTGCAGGCAGCATCGTTGGATGGCCACCAGTCTGAGCCAGTGCAACACTCATGAGCTGAAGTGTAAGGTGGGATGGTCACCCAGCGAGGGCATTCTCCTGGTCCTTCACCGTGACCCCACTGTGATCCCACTATCTCTTTTCTACACCCACCTGTGTAGGGAAGTTATCCACCAGCTGGCAGGGTGAACAGTGGGGTGGAGACCCAGTCACACCATATGGAGGTCAAAAGTCACGTCATTGCGGATGTGGGTCCGGCGCCTGCAGGTGCGATACGTGCCTGATCTCCATGGAGATAACCTGCATTTATGATTGAATGTCAAATTTTGGCACCTGTCAGGACAGGCTTGTGTTCTAAACACTTAATGCAGCCGGCAGCCAGCGAGGCTGCCCACCACGGTCGTCTCATCGGGTGATGCAGCTCTTTCGTGCTCCCAGCAGATGCCCAGAGCTGCCTAGATAGCAAGCAGCTTGCGGCGCGGATCGTGGAGCTGCAGGAAAGGCAGCGGACCCTGCAGGCCCTGCTGGAGAGCCGACTCGGGGAGCTGAGATGGGTCTGTCTGCTGGAGGCGGTCAGTGTCCGATCTGCGCACGTGTGTGTTGCAGTGGCAGAACAACTGTACACTGCGCCCTGGGGCAAAAATGGACCGTACCCCCCCTTCCAAATTCACACCTAAGGACTGCCTATGTCAGTTGCTGATGATGAAACTTAAATAGCCTCCAAATATCATACCCATCATGCACTGCAATAGTTAGCAAATTATTCAGCATCATTTTAAGGGTTATACACAAGTACATAGAACTAGGATGCAGTGCTAGGCGGAATTGGCGCGCAGACAAGAAACAGGAGCCCAATGAACACAATTTGTACTTACAGTCCTCTTCATTCGTATGTCTGAAAGTTCGTAAGTTGAAAGTTCGTAAGTAGAGGAGCGTCTGTTTTGAACTTTTTTTTTTTGTGACTCCCACCATAATGAGATTGTATACATAGAAATGAGAAAGTAGCATGTCACATGTCAATATGATATGCATGACATCACTGTTTTAATCCTCACAAATGTTTTGCATACATGTGAGATCTGCAGTTGGAGGTGGGGGCCCTCAGGCAGCTGCCAGTCCGCCCCTGGTGTGTAGAATCTTTCAGGAAACACCACCGATCCAGTGACTCATCTTTGTTTTAGGCATCAGAAAATGGCAGGACAGTTTGTCCTTATACATCCCTGTCTGTAGGCTGAATACATATGACCTCCCGCTGTGGCAGAGGAGAACAGAATCAGAATACGCGCTCTGTATATCACAAGGGCACTTTGCTGTTATTTCTCTAACCAGAAAGGATTCAGTGAAATAACGTCTAAATGTCACATTTACAGTGAAATTCATACCTGGTCGTTAACCTATACAGCTGTCGTATAGCTACATTTTCCTGACAGCTGAATGTTACTCTACAAATGTCAGATGACGCTGGATATTTGACACAACACTAGAGACGGCGAGATAAACAATTGTGCAACCAATGGAAAGACTGCTAAAGCCATAGGCATGGGTAGGACCTGACATATGTATTGCACAATGCTTTCCTTTGTTATTCTTTATTTTTAGCATGTGGGTTTTACTTGAATGCCTGGCATGAGAGTGTTTACTGTAACAACCACTATACAGTAGGCCGTAAATACAGTTAATTCTGTAGTATGTGTAACATTACAACATGAGGTAAGATAAAGTGCTGGGTGACTGTAGCAATAGTATATTATGTAACTGGCAGTGTAGTATTAGTGTTAAAGTGCCTGAATAAGTACCTACTGAGTTGTCACATGACCTTTGGATGAAGACTGGCTGGGTGTTTATGGTCTTGACCCATTTGCCAGCAGGGAGGAAAAATGTTACAAAGTTGTGGAAAATAGTGGGGTTTTTTTTTCATTCTGTTACTATGGGATGTTTCCAGAAGCTGACTGGGGAGCTTCCCAGTGAGTTTCCCTTGGGAGAAGGGGAAAAGGCTCCCCTTGTACAGAACAGAATGTCAGAGTCCCACTGCGTTCCCGCTCAGAAGGAAGAGGTGAGTGGACTGTTCCAATCTTCCTCCAGGGGTGGTGTGGAGGTGCCAGTCAGTGGATATAGTTCAGTCTGTTTTGGTGCCTGATATCGGACAGGAAGAGGCTTCTCAGCGGATGCAGAAAAAGGGCCTGCTCAGTGTCGCCCTCCGTAGGCAGAAAGAGGCACAGCAACAAGGCAGACGAACAGTCCATCGTGGCTGCCACACAGGTACTGACTTCCCAGTCACTGTCGATATCTGTTTGAGTTGGCAGGTGTGAGCAGCAGTGATGGGATGAGTGAGTGGAGGCTGCGAGGCGGTTAAACTCACCTTTTTTTCACAAATTGTGTGTGTCTGTGTGTGTGTGTGTGGATTATGTTTATATTATATTGTGGGGACCAAATGTCCCCCACCATGTAATAAAAACCTGTAATTTTGACATTCTGGGGACCATTTTTCAGGTCCCCACAAAGATCTGTGAATGCAATCAAAAAACTTAAAATGCCACAAGTCTTGTATTTTGTTTGGTTACTTATGATTAAGGTTAGGGCTGGGTAGGGGTTAAGGTCATCATGTTGGGATTAGAGTTTTCCCATAGGAATGAATGGAGAGTCCCCACAAAGATATAATTACAAACCTGTGTGTGTGTGTCTGTGTGTCTCCACAGATGAAGTAGTGAAGACAGACCTCTCTGCACTGAACTGCACAGGACAGGACCACGGTGAGCTGGCCAGTCACGTGCAAAGCTCACATGCTCAGACCATGAAACACAAACACAGCTGTGCATTTCATCACGGTCTGAGCATTGTGTTTTTTATTTCTGCAACTCAACACTGGCATGTAATTGGCTCAGAGTGTCCAGAGTGTGTGTGTGATTGGAAGGACGCCAATGCCAGTCCCACACTCACCAGAGTGATTTCACCGGTGGGTCCCTGAGCAAAGCCCCTAACTCCTCAATTGCTCCAGGGACTGGCTGACCCTGCATTTTTTTGACATACATTTTGGATAAAAGTCTAAATAATGTATATGTAATGTGTAATTAGAGTTCTGCCAGCAATGCGTAGCGCGAGGGCTGCTGTGGAGGATATCTGCTGTTAGCTTTGTGGCTAATCCAAGACGCCCTGAACCAGCCTTTTAAGCCAAACAGGCTCTCAGCTACATTGTCAGCCTCACGTTTGCTTCTGCAGTTTTGTTTCTTGGAGGTTCTGAATGAGTTTCACTCCCTCCTGTGCAGGGGAGTGGTCCCCTAGCCCCGCCCAGAACCACCAGCTGGCCTCTGGCCCGTGCATGACCCCGGGGAGCCCTGACAAGCGGGTCGGCAGGAAGCCTTCTCCTGTGGAGGCCTACGGCGAGATGAGGCCCCGCCGAGGCTCCATAGCCAGCTCCGACAGGTAGGGGGCGCCAAAACGCAGGGGAATACCAGGAAAACACAAAACACATCCGCATGCCTGAAGGAGAATGCTGTGTCACTGTGACACCTTCTGACATGACCAGGTGACATTCCAGCTCTGATTTTTGTCTGATAATTGAAGAGCAAATTTCTGTAACTCACTCAGACCTCAACAAGATCCAACAAAGAATTTTCATCAAATTGCCCAAAACTCACTTAGTCTACATATTGTGTGGACTAAGTGAGTTTTGCAAATTCGCCCTTCAGTCGAAAGTTCCAATTCTGCGGCTCCACAAATTTGCCACATCTACTCCTGTTTTTTTTTGTACACTGACATTCCTAAGTAGTCATGTTCTCATTAACGGCCAGGGTTTTCCTCTCCTTTATCACCTAAAAACCTTCAGTTTCCCATCATGCTTTTGTGCTATGAATAGAGGAGGAGCAGTTTAGGGTAGGATCCTGTCGTAATTACATTTTGGGTGAATTCCCCTGTGACCGCAGCTCGCTCTGCATCCACAGCCCGAGTCAGTCCCTTGCTCAAGGCGCGTCCAACACAGAGGGGAGGAGTGTCCCCGCTACACCCCTGTTGTCCCGGCCTGTGCTCAGCAGCGTCCCCTGGAGGTGAGAATCGCCTCCTCTGTGGCTTTAATAGTCTGATCGGCAGAGCAGTAGTGAGGTAACCTGGACCTGACTGCTGAACAGGGGTGTCACTACAGATTTTGGGCCCCTGTCACTCACCTATAAAAATGAGTTTCAAAAGGAAATCTCCCCTCTTCTTCGCTTTCTTAGGTCAGAAGTTTTGGGTGGACCTGGGGCAGAGTGGACCGCAGATGGCCTGGAGTTTTCTCAGGGGGTGGGTCCATTTCCTGGCTCGGTCCAGCACGGGGGGGCCAAGGCACGTCGCAGTACCAGCTCGGAGGCCTTGTTGGACCGTTCTGCCTACATGGAGGAGGGACGGCGCCGGGCCGGGATGCCGCCGCGGGGCGGGCCCTATCGAAGCTCTGAGACTCTGACGGATGGGCGATCCCGACGCGGAGTCGCCGACGTCTCAGCAGGGCAAGGCAGGGCACGACCGCCATTGGCCAGCCGCACAGTGGGAGGGGCCCACGGCTCCGCTCTCACTGACTGCATGTGGGGTAGGCGGCCGAAGGCGCCAACCCAGCCACACCGCCAGCGGCAGCCATCGGGGGGACCCGAGGACCGGTCCTCTCCAGGGTCAACCCCCAACGCACCTACTGGTGACGGTTGCAGCCCCGCTGCTCATGGCCTGCCAGGGGAGCTGCGCCGGGCCAAGGTGACCAGGACCAAGTCCTGTGGGCCTCTTCTCTCCCAGCACCAGCAGGGGGTGCTCCTGTGCTCAGGACACCCCGACTCGCCCCTTGGCGGGCCCCCACTTGCCCGCAGGCCCCTGCGTTTCCCGAGTGCCGACGGCCCCCCACGCGGTCTGCACAAGGCCCTGGCGCTGGAGGGCCTCAGAGACTGGTACCTGAGGAACAGCCTGAGCCACGTGACGGGCCCCGGCTCCGGCCAGCCCCGGCGGCCCAACCCCTCCCTGCACGGCTCTCACCCTCACCCACTGACACACCAGTCCCAGTCCCTGCAGTCTGAACAGGCCTACCTGCATCTACACAGCCCGCAGGTACACCTGTCAGCAACGTTTCATGGACACCTGCTGCACGGCAGGTAACTGACCACCACCTGAGGTGTGTGTGTGTGTGTGTGTGTGTGTGTGTGGAGTCTGCATGTTCTAATCTTTCTGTTTAATTTCTCTTTTCTCAGGTCAATGGAGTTCTCACTGTACCAGGACCTCGACTCCAGTGCTGATTCACCTGCTCCCGGGACTTTGGTTTAAGGCACACATGAGTCCCTGAACATGCAGACTCACATTCAGGGGTGGGATATACCCGGGTATAGCAAGCGGGTAGGGCCTGTCACGGATCGGCATTCCTGCCCCATCTGCAGATCAGTAACGACCCCCCCACCCACCAGAGTTTATGGATGACCCTACAAAATCAAGTGTGTGTGGGGGTGGGTGGTGGTGGGGGGGGGTGGTTGTCCTGAAGACAGTGAAGAACTAGGAGGTAAACCCCACCCTTCCAAGTCCATTGCCACCATACCATTTACACTTTCATTAGAAAAAAAATGTCTGTGTATGAGATGTTTAGAGCTGAGGGTGGTACGGCCAGGTACAGATAGGATGCAGATGAGTGATGCACAGTAATTACGATATAGACCGAAGTAGGTCCATGTTACTTTAGAAGTGAACAAAACCATCGATACTTTAATGTGACATACATATATACAGCTGTGTGTTTAATCAATAAACATTCTTATTTTGTCAAGCCTTCGCTATTCAGTAAGGTGCACCTTACGCATTGCGTGTGGTTGGACACTAGGGGGCAGTCTAAACCCACTCATCTGAGCGGTCTTTATTAGAGGCGTCAAATTTTCCATATTTATGAATTTCGGCCTTGTGTGTTTCGCCGGGGAGATGAAGCCAGCTTTCTGGAAGGGTGGTGTTGTATTACCAACCTCTGACGTTGGTATGAAGGCAGGTCGGGAAATTATGCATTTTATTCTGTTTCACTCACTGATTGGTGAAGTTCTTCCAAGCAGCTGTGCAGAAATATGTTCATATGTATGTAAAACCTACAGAAAGATAATGTTTAAAAATATATATGACTATATTTATGATAGGATAACTGAAACATTTGTTTAATCCATCTAAATGCAAATTGTTATTTGTAGCTTCGGAGAAATCCGATCTAGATAAATTATAGGAATGTTTTGGCGCGGGTTGAAAGATTTATAAATTAGAGAAAAGCTGTGTCTGAATATATCACCAGATAAAAGGTGCATTTCGATATTTCTCATTAGTAGATTTTATTTTTGTTAAAACATTCTCTAAATAAAGTTATCATCACCCATCAACAATAAATACATTTTGGCGGAAGTGATGAATAACATGAATTAGTTTTTGTGTATGCAATGTACGTCAGCGTTTTCTTGCTTTTTTAATGAAGTGTCTTGTTCAATTAAAAATGGCTTATCTATGTAAAAGAGTTGTGAGTTTTGTATTTCCCATGCAGACACACCTGGGAGGTTTTGTGTCTCTGCCGCAGACGTATGAACTCAAACTTGAGGTAAAATGTAACATAATCAGTAATAAACATGCCAAACATGTCTGCAGTTATTACGGCCGGGGCACTTGAAAAGAGCGAAAGCACAATGTTTAACATGCTAAATTCATCACAGTGCTCAGACAGGCCTACTGTGGCTAAATATTGATGGTTATTTTGGACGGACATTTCTGTTATACGTCTGTGTTGTATTAAAAAGAATGTAGCACAGCTGCAGAATAGTCGCAAAGCGTTTCCAAGAAGCGGCAGGTCCGGTGGCGCAACGCAAAGACAGACGCAGATCCTGGGGAGGGACGTGCGCGGAGTTCTGCCCCTCCCCGCGTAAAACACCCTGTTTTCAAAGTGTGTTTCCAACCGAGACGCCATATTGTCCAGGGTGTTTCAGGGCCCGATCGTGGACTTTGCGGTATCCGGACCGGATGATTTCTGCATGAATTCCGAAGTCGGCGAGGCTGTTGGACCTTCGCTGCTCGCTGCGTCTCTTTAGCTCTGTCGCGACACGGAGCGTTTTAAACAACCTGTGGATAATCCGGGACCTTTGCCGACTTCAAGCGGGTGGGTACTGCCGCAAAAAGCCGCCCCCATGTGTTTACTGCATACTAAAACTTCGTCGTAGGTATAGACGAAACTCTAAAAAGTTGTGCTGAAGTTGACACTGTGCTTTGTTAAAGCGGTCACATTTAGTGCGCTTTTAGTCGTCCACCCCCCCCTCCTCCCCAGAAAAAAAAAGATAAACCTCTACTCAAGCACCCAGAATAAGGAAATGGCAGAATGTTTTGAGTCGGAGCCGGTGGGTCGCACTGCCGGAGTGACAGCGGCCGTCATTGCCGGTGACTGTCACTGTCACATACGGGGGACGCTCGGCTTCACGGGCAGCAGCGGCCGCAGGGAGCCTTCATGCCGACGCTGTTTACATTGTGCGGGGAAAATATTCCGAGTTGCGAAACGACACGAAAGGCAGCTCTGGTGTTTATAATGTCAGGATTTATACTGTGCGGAAAAACGCCGACAGCGTCTATACTGTCGCTCTTGTTCTGCGGGGAAAAAGGCATTTTTCCTTCGTGCACGTCCTTTCAGTTCAGTCGCTTTATCTAAGTTTTGACAGGTGCATGTGTCTATGTTAGTATATATGGGATCGCTTGTTGTTTTTAAGGAATTAGTTTTATAAAAGAACAACCACACTATTAACCATACAATTGTTACTTAGATTTTTTATTCAGATTATATATTTTATTGATTATGTATTATTATTATGTATTTTATTGTTTGTTTTTGGCGATTTGTAACTATATTTGAACAGCGCTATATATATATAAAGTATTACTCACTTATCTGACATTTACTTTATTTTCGTATTGAATGTGGCTGTCAGTGAGCTGTAGTCGGTCACTTTTCACCTGCACTAACTTTGTTTTGCGTTCGGTGTCCGTGGAACATAATGCTGTATTTCGCGTTACGGTGTCACGGTGTGTTTCTGTACTGGACTGAAGGTTGGAAGATGGATGTGTGGATGTTCCCGAAGAACGAAGAACTTGTATCATCACCATCAGGTGTTTGCGAGAAACTTGGCTGAATACCTTATGCATTCTGAAAACTATTGTGTAATAAGCTGGGAAAATGCGCTGTTTAGAACTGAACTTGGAAAGTTTTGAATTAGGTTTTTTTTAGGTTTAGTTGGGTTTTCAGATTCCCCACTGGAGGGAAACTTTGAGGTTATACCTCTGTCTTGGGGCCTGTCTTGCTCACATGTTAGCCTCTGGCGTTTCTGGTAGCTTTGCGTGTTTTGCTGTTGGAAGGATTTTTCTGAGTGTTTGTGAAGCTTTGTGGCCGCATGACGGCAGTTCCTGTGGTGACTGTAGGCCTGAGAGACAGACAGCAGGCCAACTTCCTCTTTGGGTGGCAATTGGGGAGGTGGGGGTAGTCAGACTCTTTGTGATCAGCGGTGTGGAGATTCGAAGCTGAGAACCACTGGCTCTTCAAAAAACGTCAGGTTTGATGAACCAGCCTGCTTAGTATAGGTGTGCTTTTGTCTGTTTTAAAACTAAATGTTGCGCACAGTTTTGATTTGCCGGTTTGCTGCGTTGCCGGCGTCCTGTGCTCCTGCCACATTGACACTACATCTTTCCCTCTCAGCCTCACCTTGCCGGTCACACACAGAGTCCAGCTTCGCCTCTGAAGACCTCGGCCGCTTTGAGGACACCCCCTGCACCGTCGCTGTCAGGTCAGTTCAGAGGGACACGCTATACACACGTTGGACACGTTTGGTGACCTGGAGCCAAGATGTGCTGAAAGCAACTCGGCATTTAGCATGAAAGTATCTTTTAATATTATGTCACTGTCAAGCATGCTTTATAAACCTCTTCAGCCTGATCTTTTAATACCAGAATACAGCAAACGTGTGTGTTTGTCTGGCAGGAATCTTGTGACTGTTCTGTGTAAGACACTAGATGCTCGTGCTTGACTTTAATAAAATCAGTTTTGATAAAACTGATCTCCTGCTAATTGGTTCCAAATCAATAGTCTCTCCCCATAACAGCTTTGCTCTGGAGATCGATGGCACTTCACCCACTGCACATAATCTTGGTGATTCTGCTGTCACCTTTGAAGATCTCATACACTCCCTCTCTAAGATGGCTTTCTTTTTTTTCACCTCCGCAGCATTACACGCCTTCATCCTGCACTTAGCCCCAAGGATGCTGAAATGCTCATTCGGGCCTTTATCGCATCCCAATTACATTATTGCAATACTCTCTTCATTGGTCTTTTTATTTAAAACTCTGCAGTTTGAGTGTTCGCCCACACTAAACGCTTGGCATACATCACCCCTATCCTCCATAACCTCCACTGGCTGCCTGTTCTGTATCACATGCAATGTAAAATTCTTCTGTTTACATTTGAGGCCCTCTGTGGCTATGCTCCTCACTATCTTACAGAATTACTTCAGCCCTGTTCTCCCATTCACAGTCATAGATCATCACCTTCTGCTCTATTGTCTCTCCCGAGATTTAAATTTACCACCATGGTTTCTTGGGCCTTTAGGTTTGCAGCTCCGAAGCTGTTCCCTCCCCCCAGAGCCTGTGAAACTGCTTCTCCCCCCATATTCAAGCCCCATCTCACCTCTCTCTGCTACGCCTCCTTTCCTGATCACTGACGGTCATTTTGTTCATTATAATTACCATGGATTGAATTAGTCTGTTGTCTTTGTCATGCTATTTGTGATTATGCTGTATTTCTTCCATCTATTATTTGTAATGATTACCTTTGGTTATGTCAATCCTCGGAAAAGCGTCTTTTGGTGTTGGTGAAAGGCCCTACATAAATGAAACTTCTTGTTGCTGTTTAATGTTCAGTTATTGATGGTGGTGCCGGTTGCCATTTTGCCTGATGAGCCTTGCGATTCTCTGCCTTGCTGAGCAGTTCGTCCACATGCCCAGTGAAGGTTGCAGTGCCTCGTAGATTAAATGCCCCCATTAGTGTAGCTTGTGCTGCTGTCAGTGGCTCTCAGAGTAGGTCCACGGAGCATCGGAGCTTCCTCGCTCTCAGAAATGCCACCATAACGGGAAAGTTTTGTCCTGCGTAAAGTCTAACTTTTGAGAATGTGACTGATCAGCTAGTTCTGCTTTGGAAACCCCCACCCCCTCCCCACATTATACGTGTGTGGTGACTGATGCTTCAGAGCCGGGGGCCTTTGCTAGCAGTGCAGTCGCACCCCGGCGCCTTCGTGTGCCTGGACACCGGCAATGTGGATCACCGCGGTTATTAATAGTTGAGTTCTGCATGAGAAAAGACTCGCCGCTATTTAAGGCCTTGAGACCCAGTGCCCTGGACACCGTGAGCCAGAGGAACAAGCCGGCGATGCTGCCAATCCCCCCCCACCCCGCCTCCTCACTGCCTCGGGCTTATATCCCCCAGGGGAATGGCTGTTGTACCCTATCGCTTCAGTGCAGTTTTAGATAGACAGATATCTACAAATACATGTTCAAAGGCACAAGGGCTTGAACCAGCAAACTCCCTCCATGACCTTAATTCTCATGTGATGGTTATATACCAATAATACAGGATGAAAAGTTATATTTTTAAGTAGGTATACAGTTCTTTTTTTACAGTACTGTTTGGGTCATGTTTAGTCTCTTAGGTGTTCGGAACGTCCTTTTCAGCGTTGATGCATTCCTGGAGCTTGTCCCTGACGCTGTTACACAGTTTAGCTACAGTACCTTAACCACACATTTCCACAACACTGTATTTGGCCACATGGCAGCATTGACTGACCAGCATATTCACCCTTAGGGGACGGGGTTAATGGCAGCTGAGACTCTGTCTGGCCCTTAGGGGACGGGGTTAACGGTGGCTGAGACTCTGTCTGGCCCTTAGGGGACGGGGTTAG